CCCCAAAACCCCAAAACCCCAAAACCCCCTATTGAAATATTTAGTCTAGTAAGAAATTTTGATTTATAACTTAAATTTAATCTATTTCAATTATCATCTCCATTCATCTCCATCTTCTCTATCATCCACTTCATTTGCAACTTCTTAATAGTCTTCAGCTAATTGCAAAGTTAGTTGATTCAATTGCTTTTTAAGAAACTCTTTTGACAATTAAAGTGAAGTTCTCTCAGACCAAAGCTTTAAAAAGCCATCGTGAAGGAATGCTCTACAAATTTTGTGATCTGAATTGAGCATTATGAAACTCTCCGTAATGAATAAAAGTTTTTCAAATGTACTGACATCCCAAATAATAGTCTCCACATAATTTCTGGTTATCATATATTTGCCATCAATAGTGGGTGCTATAAACCATGTCCCTACTTATTTGTGATCTGTCAATACTTTCACTATCTCAAGATTTTCAGCATCAAGTACTAAAACTTAATGCCCATTATAGCCCTAAACCATGAAAGCGTATTTACTGTCAAATGTAATAGCTATAGTTGCAGGTGTATATATAAGTTAAGATTTTTTCTACACAATTTCATCATTAAGCAAGCTGATCTTAGTAATCTCTTTGAGTCCATTATTTCCAGCCAATATGAATTTATCATCGTGAGAAATAACTAAACTCTCATATCCTCTTCCTAAATCAATAGTTAACAAAAGTTGGATATTCTCCAAGTCCCACTTATAAAACTTTCCTTGTCTATAGCCCATTGTATATAAAAATTTATCTGCGGTATCAATAGCAATGTCAATTACATCCTCATCAACATGCCCATATACCCCAGAATCCTCGTGATTTTTTGTAGACCATCTGACAACCTAACCTGATACTCTTTAAAAAAAGATATAAGAAGAGGAATGAGAAAAGTTAACTGCTCTCTATCTCCCATTCGCATAAACAAATCTTGTGACCAAAGATTTTGTTTTAGTATTCCAGATTTCCATTATTCCTTTGCTAAGGCTACTTGTAAGTACATACTCACTATTTGGGGAAGAACAACTTTCTGTCAAGCTTTCAGTATCAATTTGCAATTTGATGGCTTCTGAATGCTCATTAATGGACCAATATTAAAGTGAATTATCAATCCCTCTTGCTAATAATAAGGATTCATCCTTTGAGAGACTCAATGATTTAACTGAAGTATTTGGATAAAGAGTTGTGAGGCAATGATATCTCCCAAGACACCATACTTTAACAATCATATCTTATGCAGAGTATAATAAGTTAGAATTTTTCGAAATAACTAAATCACTGATAGAATCTGTACTCAATTTTGGAAAAATAAACTCTATTTCTTATTTTTAGAGATTCCATTGTATTATCTTATTACTTGCTCCAGTCACAATGACTGATTCGCCATTATTGCAAAGAAGGATTTAAGAAATTTCTCCTACTTGAGCGTTATGAATTTTATGAATTAATTTATTATCATTTAAAGATACATAATCTAATCCTACTTTATCGTTTGCTCTAACTATTACATAGCCATTATCTGTGGTAAAACAAGCAATTTTATTAGGATCCTCATTAGAACTAATTACTAATTCATAAGTCCATTTGATGGTAAAATTATCTACCAATAATACAATAATCTTTGATTCTGTTTCGTTAAATGCTGTTAATATCTGACCATCATCAGAAATTCTCAGGCATTTGAGAATCTAATTTTCAAAAGATATTTTTGTGAGGTGCTGAATCTTGCATCCTTTAATTTTAAGAGAATAGAGGTTTCCAAGTATGTCTGAGATTATTAACAACCCTTTAATTGATATTTAGTCGTGTATTCTTCCAGCTAGATCAATTTTCGCAGCTAAATTCAACTAGGATTGCTTAAATATCTAGCATGAATTATCAGAATTTTAAATTGTGATGTAATGAGTTGAGCCCAAAAAATTTTTTATATCAAACGCAATGATTTTTTCATTTTCAACTTGATTAGCTTTGATTGACCACTGTTGAAGAATATTTTCCTTCAAAAGAGTAAGTGTTTGATCGTTGACATAGTTCATTTAATAATCATTGAGATCTAAATTCACTTTTTAAACTGGATATTTTTCCAAAAAAGCTATTTTCTCAAGCAAGTTTGGCTGAGGTTCAATTTATGTAAGGATCTGTGGTAATGCTGATTCTAAAGTTCCTTCAGTCTCTTTGATAACGACTTAAGTCTCATTTTGATCTTAAAACTAAGATTTTTACTCCTCGGGTTTTATAGTTTCCATAAAATTAACAAAGATATATTATTATAATATGCACATTCATTAAAATCTATACAGTTACTTAATTTCCTGATGGGGTTTTGGGGTTTTGGGGTTTTGGGG